AGCTACTCTAGCTGAGGTAGGAAATTTGCTGGATCCCAGGGCTGCCAGGTCATAGTGTATTCACACTAAGCTTGGTATCAATAGAATGGCCTCCAGTAGAAGAGAAACATCAGATTGTCTGCATCAGAAATGGAGCAGGTGAAAACTTATGACTGACCTGAGATCAAAAAGAATGAGAATTAACAAGGTGAAGTAGAAGAGAGAACATTGTAGCAGAAAAGAATCTGTAAAGCCTCTTTGGGCTTGATAAAAGGCCCTTCTGAGCAGACAAAGCAGGGGCCCTTCTGAGAGACAAAGCAGGGGCTTGACTAGAAAGGAGTAATACTAGAGAGGTAGATAGGAGTCTGCCATGCTAAAACCTTGTGGGTTATGTCAACAGAGCTTCTTCTGTTTTTACTGTACATGCAATAAGCTTAGAGGGGAAATGGAATAGTTGACATGATCAGGTGAATATTCTGAGACACTTGCTCTGGGTGCAATATGTAGAAGATATCAGAGTGGTTATGTTAATCAACTTTCTGTTGCTGTGATAAAATACCTGAGAAAATCAACTTATGGTAGAAAGATATATTTTGGTTCATGCTTTCTGAGATTTCCATCCATGGTCAGCTGGATTCATTGCTATGGGTTTCTGGCAAGGCAGAACATCATAGCAGGGAATATCTGAAGGAGCAAAGCTGGTTACTTCATGATAGTGGGGTAGCAAAAAGAGAGAGAAGAGCCAGGGGGCAAACTACAGTTTTCAACGGCACATCTCTGATAACCTACTTCCTCCTAGGCCCAACCCCTAAAATTATTAATTCAGGAATTAATCCATGTCGAGGTCAGAGCCCATGATCCAATTTATCTGCCAAAGACCCCATCTCTGAACCCTGCCAAACTGGAGACCAAGCCTTTAAAAATGTGAACTTTGGGGGAACATTTTAGATCCAAACCATAACAGTAGTATTATGCAAGTTTATTTCTGTTTCAATTAACAAAGTTCCTACCCACTCATACTAATTTAAGAAAAAGATCATTTGTTGGCTCCAAAATTGTAAGCTGTGGCCAAGAGAAGATATTCATACATTTTAGGATCCAGTTGCTCTATGTTATTTTCAGCTATATATCTCTGTGCATCACAGCTCTGCTTTGTACTGTGTTCACTTTATTTTTAGGCAGGTCTCCTTTCTAAGGGTAAGATGACAGCTGGCAGCCTAGAGGCAAAAATCTCATATATTATCATCGCAACAGAAAGAGAGCCTCCTTTTCCCTGTAGCTCCAGCAAAATTTCCAGGACTGGCACTTACAGAGCAACTTGGTTCCCACGTCAATCCATGAAACAATCATTATGGCCACAGGAAAAAAAAAAAGTGTACTCATGAACTGAACAACTGCTCACTTTTGGAGCCAAGTTGTTCTATTGATTCTACCTGAACAGCATGACCCGAGAAAAGGAAATGGACAGCCCACCCCCCAAAGCATGGTGCTATAGCAGAAGTAGGAGATCGACAGGAATTATAGAGGGACAGATTAAGAAGATTTTAAGACAGTCCCAGAGAAAAATAACCAGAGTTTGGATTAAAGGTAGAGATCTGGGAAGTATTTAGGAAAGTAAATCAATAGGATTTTATAATGAATTGGTTAAGAGGATGGAGAGAGAGGGTTATGAGATAACAGAATAAGGCCTAAAATTCATGTTTACATAGCTGCTAATATCATTCACTGGGAGTGTTAACATTGGAAGGAGATCAATTTTGGAGGTAGCAAGAGGGGGGAATATGATGGACTTAATTTGGAGTATGTTAAGATGCCATTGAGACTTCTGAGAGATTTTGGAACATTTGGGTATATAGGACTTAAGATTGGGGGAGACATCTGGCATAGATGTATAAACTTTCCCAGGACTGAAACAGTCCATTGATTTGAAAGTTATTGATGACTATGGACAGTGATGGACAGAAGCAGAAATCAGTGGAGTGGGTGAATGATACGGATGCGGAGACAGTTATTATGGTAGATTAAATACGGAATCAAATTCATTACTGTTTCCTCCACTCAAGGGGGAGTTAACTTTGCTTCTTCTTGATTTTGTGCTCCCTTTTGTAACTTTCTTGACCAAAAGAATATAGCAGAAGTAATGTTCTGGGCCTTCTAATACTAAGTCATAAAGAATTTCTAATACAAATTCATAAGAAGCCTTGCAACTCTTGCCTGAGTCTCCTGAATCATGTACTGTGAAGAAACTCAAATAGCTAACTGTGTTTTCTTGGGCAAATGATAAAACTCCTTAAGCCTCCATTTCCTTATATGCATAATGATTAGCACTCAATAATTGCTAGTTGCTGCTTTATCACCATTTCCAAGTGATAGAAAAGTGAATTAAATGATATAGAATTAGGATTTCTTATTTTCCCTTTAACAAAGAATTACTTATTTAAGATTATAAGACTAATGATTTTAGTGATGACTATTTATAATCTTATCATAAGCTAAGTCACAAATCAACAAAGGTATCATAATAAGAATTCTTAAAGAAAATAAATTTGATGGCCTGTGCTTTTGGGACAATATAGAGACATTCTGTGGTGATATTTTCAGAGATACTTTGCCATTTGAGCAGAGCTTTTCTGAAGTTACAAATAGCTGCACTCTGATATCCAGAAATACCACCTCTGCAAGTCAAAGAATTATATTACCACTTTAACCTAGTAACTGTCATAAGAGAAAATTTCAGGAAATACCGCTCTCTGATTAATCTGAGAATTGTTAAGAATACCATATAAATAGCAATTTATGGTTATTATGTAGCCATTAATTTTATCTGTATTGCATCTTTCAAATGAGAGGAAAATGAGACAATCAAGACATCCTGAGTTGTACAGCATCTTGCTTTCAAATACCTTTGGATTCAGTTTTCATATGTAACTTAGTGAACTTGCATTTCCCAGGCATGAGGAAAAGAGATGCTCTTTGGACTCATTTCTTGAGAACCTCTTCCCCATCAGATTTGCAGATGAAGATAGGGACATTGCCCTAGTTGCTTCTAAAATTTGATGGTTGCATGTTGTTATGGTTTAGATATGTGGTGTCCCTCAAAATCTCATGCATGAGACAATGCAAGAAAATGTAGAGGTGAAATGATTGGGTTACAAGAGCCTTAACCTAATCAGTGCATTAACGCCCTGTTAGGGATTAACTGAGCAGTGGTAATTATGGGCAGGTAGGGTGTGGCTGAAGGAGGTGGATTCCTGGAGGCACGACTTTGAGGTACATAGTTTGTCCTGTTGACCAGCACGTTCTCTTTCTCCTTTTCTCTCTTTCTCTCTCTCCCCCCACTCTCTCCCTGCTTCTTGGTTCCATACTCTGAGCATTTTCCCTCTACCACACTCCTGCACCATCATGTTGTGCCTTACCTCAGGCTCAGAGCAAAGGAGTCAGTCAACTATGGACTCAGACCTCTGAAACTATGAGCCCCCAAATAAACTTTTCTTCCTCTAATTGTTCTTGTCAGGTCCTTTGGTCACAGCAGCACAAAGGCTCTCACCAGATGAGGTGAAGGGCTCTGATAACAAACTCAGAAGTAGCTCAGTTGTTCACTCCTGGAGATGTATAGATGGCAGAAACCTCTCCTCACTCAAAACATTTTGTTTGTTCCACTCCTTTTCCCCTGCTACTTTCTTGAAGTAAGAAAGACTTCTCTGGATCTGAACCCATGGAAAACCAATTTACAAAGGCTTTATATCCAAAAATAAGCATATATGGCTGCAAGTGATGTGTTGTACTGGGCCATTTACTGAGTAGACACTGAATACTGAGTATTCAGTGCTGGTACATTGGAAATAGGAGTAATTGTCCAACCTGGCACAAATCCTATTGTCTTTAATCAAACGATACTCACGGTTTGCATTAAATCCAGATCCCTGGAAAAGCTCTAAAAACTCAATCATTATTATATTTACTAAGAATATCGAATACACTTGCAAAGTTATAGAAGTAAATGGGATTTGGTAAGGAAAAATTAATTCCCTTGAATTAATAGTTTTCTGTCATTTATCTGCTTAGTTTTTATGAAATAGAACAGAATGTGAATTGAATTTTAAAAAATATTTAAAAAGGTTTTTCTTTCTCATTCTAAAAACAAATCCTCAACCTCTCTACAGAAATATCAAAAGGAAAAAAAATGTGCCTAGCATAGTGTCTAATATAAGTGAATAACTCAAACTTGTGTTGAAATCTTATATAAATCTCTATCATGACCTCTTGATTCTGTTCACCTAAAATCCTTATATCCCCAAGTCAGTGATACACCCAAAGCACTTACTTGTGTGCTAAAAGTCAGTATTCCATATCAGGCCATGATACTAACATCATATCATGTTGATTTTACAATGACCTCAATATTTTTTTTTAGAAATCAGTCCTTCTCTTTCCTGTATCAAATGATTTAGATTCCTTTAAGCCTGGTGACTGGACAAGCACAGAAAACCCATCAGAAAGAAGGGGAATGTTTCTGAGAACATTAGTATTGCCAAACTCTAACAGAGCCTGTCTGCTTTGGCTAGTCTAAGTAACCTCAAACCCTTAACAATTTTAAATTAAGGCACAAATTAGAGGGTGAAATAAGTATTTATATTTGTTCTTTGTTAACAGCTGTTTTTAATGTTTCAGGGATGTTTCTTTCTTATTTCTCTCTAGTGCAAACTTGGGAGAATTATCCCAAGGTTATTTCAACCTAATTTTCCACTTAATCATTTCATTTTTCATCTCAATTCTTTCTGGAAGAGCTTTAAGATGATGACATATGTCCATTTCTCTCCCTACTTTCCCTCTCTCTCTCTCTCTCTCTCTCTCTCTCTCTCACACACACACACACACACACACACACACACACACACACACACACACAATTATTAAACTCAAAAAAGAAGACAACCACAGCCTGAAGTCTGCTTCTCTTAGGGATCCTTTGAGTTAGTTTTCTTATGCTGGCACTCTAACAACACAGAAAGTCAGTCCAATTCCTTTAAACAATTTTAATGACAATATTAACATATTAATATAACAAGATGGTTTCAGGCAGGAAGGAAAAGTAAATAAGACTTAACTCATGATTTCTAAGTTATTGTAGATATTAAAATCGTGTAATATTGTGCGGTCTTTTAGCTTAAACGTGTTGTACTGAAGAACTTCTACTTTCCCCTCACACATACACAAAACTTGACATTATATATAAAATAATAAGATAAAGGAAAAGTTTTACTTTAACAGGCTCCCTTGAAATATGTTTAAAATAGAAATATGATATTTTTACTTGTGACATCAAGAGTTCCTAAAGTGGTCCATGAGGTGGTAAATATTCAGATTTACCTATAAAACAACTGTTTATGTTCAGCTCACCTTTAAAGATTTCACGTTAATGACTGATGACATGATTAGGATTGTTCTTTTAAAAAGTTAAGAACCAAAATATTTCTTTTAGTAAACAATTTTATTTATGGTGGAATTTCCAAAATTTCTTATATCTTGAAATTATCCACAAAGTACTATTTAGTGCGTCCATTGAAAATATGCATTTCTTATCAGAAATTTCTTATTGATATAAGAAAAGATCAAAGTATATACCATAAGGCAGTATTGCTCTATTTTTATTTAATACAATATAACAAAAGATTAACAAGAAAAGCAAAAGTTAAATATATTTCAAATTCCCTAAAACTGATTCCAGATATTAAAATGCTTTTAAGAAAAAAATAAAGATCTAAACAACAAAGATATTATTTTGATGAGCAATATTTATATAAAAAATATAAGTTAAGCATTGCAACAAGCTACCCTCAATGAATTACCTCCACCAGAAATAATATTATTGGAACTATATACTAAAGAAAAGAAGATGAAGTTAAAGACAAAGAAGAAGAAAAGAAGGAGAAGGAGAAAGTATTAATTGTAACCATAACTTTTAGTTAAATATGCTTTCTTATAAAGTGGCAAGGTAATATGTACAAATTTACAACTGAAAAGAAATCATTATATACATGTTGTCTTCATTCTGGACTTGTTGGCCTTCTCCTCTTGGATAATGGGCCCTCCTGGCAAAACTGATCCAGACTAGGTATTTAGTTCATAGCACGTGATAGATAAGCCTGGAACTAGAAGCCCCTGGAGTTGCAGGCTGCAAATCAGTGCTGACAACTGGAGAGAGAGAGGCCGGGTCCTGGAAAGGCAACCCAGGTTGCTCTGAGGAGGTGATCCGATCCACAATGCTGGACAAGCAATCCAAGCTGGATAAGGAGCTTTTATCTGTAGTATATACTAACAATACAAGGGGAAAAAACATTAAAAGAAATTATCCCTAGATAGACAGACTTGCTTATTTGACCCTTAAGCTACAGGTCAGCTCTCTTGACACCAAAGGTCAGGTGATCACAGAAAGCCTGATATAGAATTTGCAGCAAATATCTGGCAATTCCTGAGGGTGGAGTGTGGAGTGAGGAAGCCCCCCTGGTAATATTTCAAGGAAAAGTGTGGTGGGAGGGGGGTGGTTGAGAGCAGAAAATGTGAATTTATTTTATTCTGCCACAGCCTCTCCACAAGAGCCTTCCCTTTCCTTCCCTTTACCAATACTACCTGGAAGAATAGACTCTTCTATGATAGACTGAATTGTGAGGTTGAACTGGCCTTTAGATGCTTCTGAAATTATCAATTCTTACCATTTGACACATCGGGACAGTAGACGGTGTCAAAACTGCTGCTCTTTCTGGACCAGACAGGACTATTACATTCAGGCTATAATACAAGAAACAAAAGATATTTGTTTTCAGGTTTGGCAAAAGATGCCCCGACTTAGGGCAAGGCAGTGCTTGCCACAAGCTCTGTAAACTGACCACTCTCAGTCACCTTCATTGCCTTGATTTAGGAAGGGTTAGCCCTCTCCAAATTGCCAGGTCACAGAGGTCAATCTCTGTACTGGGAGAAGAGGAGAACAACAGCAAAGCAAAGAGGGGTGGAATTCAGCAGCAATGTGCATTGGGTTAACCATGCAAAATGGATTGGAATAGAAGGAAGCCACACTAATTCTGGGAGAGAATATTTTCCCAGGGCAAAAACACATTAAAACCTGGCAGCATTGGAGCAAACGCCCTCTGAAAAGAATGCACCAACAATCTTCCAGCCAGGCCTCAGCAGAGCCTGGACTGAGGCCATGATGTTTTTATTTCTTCATTAAGTTATAAACTCTGGGGCAGGGAGAGCTTCAGATAGTTGCCTTTAGATGTTAATATATGGCAGGGGCTGCCGGTGATATAATTTGGAAATAAACCAAGTAATGGAGAAAATATCATAGCACCTATCTTGGTGCCAAATCTCTACTACAATGTCTATCTACAACCTGCTAGGAAGTCAAACTAAAATCGTATTCAAGGTTTTTTTTCCTGGCATGTTTCTAAATCTGGACACCACTTTTCTCTTAAAGCCACTCAACAACTGCCTGTACCCCAGCCTATTTCACCTCACCTGGTTTAATTGGGGGTCTAAAGGAGTTTTAGAAAAGAATGGGGAAGCTGAGGGTAGGTACCACAGCTGTGACTTACCATGCCATCTGAGCAGTTGGAGGTGGGGCTGGTGGGCTCTGAGCAGCTCTGTCCCGGCAGGCTGTAGTAGTTCTCCACCTGTTCCCTCAACAGCTCCTGCAAGCTCTCGATGTAGCGGATGGCATTTCTGAGGATCTCCACCTTGGGTAGCCTCTGGTTGGGGTTAGTCGTGGTGCATCTCTTGAGCGTCTCGAAAGCCTGGTTGACCTTCTTCAGGCGTCTCCGCTCACGCATCGTGGCTGCCTTCCGCCGATCCATGGTGGTGGACTTCCTCTTGCACGCTTTGCAGGCCCACATGAGGCAGTGACCAGCCTGGTGGTGGCCGGTGGGCGCTCGCACGTGCTCGTCCTCGTCTGAGCCCTGCAGCTCTGCTTTGTGCGCCCCGAAGGCACCCATTCGTGGCTCGAACTCATCCCCAAACTCACCCTCAGGGGACGGGATACAGGAACCATCGTAAAAGTACTCAGAAGGTGAGAACTGGCAGCCGTCCATCATGTCCATCCTGCGAACAGGCCAGCAGTGCACCTACTAGACAGCAGCGGGAGAGATAAAGGAGAAACGCGAACCTAGGGCCACTGCAGTCGGGCAAATCCCAGGCGGAGCTCCCTGGTTGGTTTCTCCGGTAATTAACAAGGGCAGACGCCCGTTGGCCTGGGTCGGCCGGCTGGGGTTGGGGCTCTTTATATATTCTTGGGGGTGGGGGAGGGAGGCTGGCCCCAGTAGTCGGGCACTATTAGCATATCCCACCCTAACCCCCGCAGTGGCTGTCTGGGCAAACCTCTGCCTTTCTTCTGGGGACAATTTGCTGTTTACTTCCCCCTACTTTTTGAAGCTAATGGCTTTACTGCATTTCTGCTGGGACGGGCATGGTTTCCCTACCTGCTCACTTGCACTCTACTAACCTAAATTAAGGGACCACCTAGAGTGTAACAAACAAAGGAAACAGCTTATGGCAGTGGTTCACTCACAACAGGATTGATAGTGATTAAGAGTCAACAGAACTCCCTACTTTTCAGCTGACATCCAAAGCCTACTTGCCCTTTCAGTCTTGGACAGGAGAAATCAACCAATCTGGGGAGGTTTCTTTCTGTCTCTGTCTTCCTTTCTTTCTCCCCCATGAAATATCTCCTAGCAGTTTTTTAATTTTTTTTCAATGAATTCGATAATGATTGCTAAAAACTTGAAGTGACCCTTTCAATCATGGAGTGATTCCAGAGTTTCTTTTTCTTTTACCAGCTATTTTGAAAGGATTGAGGTGAGTGAATTTCTGATCAGGGTGTCATTTCATAGGCGTTATATGAATGGGGAGAGATGGGTGGGAGCTTCCTTAAGACAGCACTCGCTTGTTATTTCTTAGGTGGGCTAAGGAGAGCCAGTAGACCGGGCACACTCCTCCCGCCCTTGCTTTCTTCCTTTCTCCCTTCTCCACATATTCGCTGAGCGCCTCCTACATCGTGCCAGGGCTCGGCTAGACCCTGAGCAGGCCGATGATCCGCGCTGAAAGGGTCTCTACAGTGGCAATGGAAGAAGTCCCGTTTTTAGACCTCAGACTCCCCGCAAAGTCCTTTTCCAGGAGCGAGTCTCCTTTTTTTCCCTTTCTGTGCTCCGCCCGATCATTTCTACAGACTAAACAGCCAAACTGGGCTTTGGGGTCGCTAATTTTCTGCTTTCAGGCAAACTAACACCGTTACAGATGCGTCCCAGCTGCCGGCACAGCATCCCCGGCTAGTGTAAAATTTCCAACTCTTCCAACCAGGATCGTGACTTCACACACTTCAATGACAAAAGCCTTCCAGTAAAGCAATCCCCAGCAGCAGTCTTTGAAATTTTGGTGGATAGAAGGCAAGTGACATTTAAATAATAATCTATTCAATCAACTTAGTAATTACTAACACTTTTAACCCACTTTCAGATCATTTGAAGTGAGGAGATGCTGTTTATATTTAGGAAAACAATTACTTAAAGTCTACACAAACAGTTGGAGGTCTTGGACCAGGGCTTGTGGCCCATATAAAGGAAGAGGGAGTGCTCTGGATTTCACCTAGGGATATCCAATTCAGTATATGTGACTCAAAAGTTATTGGGTGGGGTAAAACTTTCCTTTTTATTTTATTTATTTATTTATTTATTTTTTGCAAACCTGCTTTCCTAAAAGCAACCATAGTTAGCTAATTTGTCACCTATAGTTACCAGGATACTTATAACTCTTCCCAGGTTAAGATCTCTCCCAAGTGAAGGTCCTAAAACCAGCATGAGAGTGTGACAATGTCCGTAAATGAGGTTTACTACCTTTACTACCTTGCCTTTCCTCTCTTCTCTCCTCTGTCCCCCCACTCTGTCATCCCTAAGACAATGATTTCCCTTGAAAATCAGAATTCTTTTCATATCAACCTCTGCTTAATTGTCTGGCCGGTGGGAAATCCATCTGCATTTTACTTAGGCCTATTTACAAGTGGATGGTTTTGAAATGAATACAGTCCCAGGGCTACCCCAGATATAAAACTTAAGTTCCTGAAGGATCCAGGTTCCTCCACCACACTGGTGGAAACATTTGAATGAGCAGCACATCACTGCCTCTAAAATACAATAGTGAGTAGATATTCTCATCCAGGAGTTCACAGCCAAGTTCCAGGATTCTGGTCAGCAAACAGCAACCCTACAAACAGCAACTATAAAGCACCCCCACTTGTGGCATCCACTGTCTACCATTAGCATATGTAAAGCAGGTAAAGCAATGTGATTTAGAAACAAACAAACAGGCCCGGTGTCACAAGCCTGTAATTGCAGAGGCATGGGAGTCTGAGACAGGAGGATCACTGGTTCAAAGCCAGCCTCAGC